AATTGGGACTGTCTTATACACACCGATCTCACACTGTCTTATATATTACCAGTGTAAGCTGTCCATCTCCAGGCCATGCCGTATGTACTCATCCAAAAGTGGCGGTCTCATTTAATAAATAGCCCAGGTCCCGATGGAATAGCCGTGTTTTTTCTGACTCGTTCAGCAATACTGAAGTGGTGCTGGTAATAATGGATCCTTCTGAAATGACGTCACTTGGGCTAAGGTTAGGGATGATTTAAAGGTAGGACTTTAGAATGAGGGCACACGGTTTGCTGTACTGATTGAAACCTGGCTAGGAGCGATATGGTTTACAGTCTGCAATACCTCTGTTTAATACACCCAGTCACCCCAAGTCGCTATTAATTGTAAAATCTCCTTAACCCTAAATCCTCCTAATCCCACAGTAAAGATTCAGGATTGCAGTGTACCCAGTGCTGAGCAAAGTAGCCGAGCTGGAACAATTCTCTAAATCAGCTCCGCTCTGAGTTCAGCTACTCTGGCCTGTGGGGAAGTTTTGGCTAATGTTTACAATTCACATTGAATTCACTGCGTGTTCCTGTAAGTTAGGAGCTAATGCACAGTATGTTATACACAGTCTATATTATATATAGTTTATATTATACACAATATACATTATATATAGTTTATTATACACATTTTATACAATATACAGTTTATTACACACAGTCCCTGTATATTATAGACAGATTATATTATATATAGTTTATATTATATACAGTATACATAGTTTATATTACACGCAGTTTATATTATATATAGTATATTACACACAGTTTATATTATGCACAATTTATATTACACATAGTGTATATTATATATATATATAGTATATTACACACATTTTATATTATACACAGTTTATATTACATATAGTATATTATACACAGTTTATTACACATAGTTTATATTATATATAGTTTATTACACACGGTTTATTATATACAGTTGATTACACACAGTATATATAATATATAGTTTATTACACACAGTATATATTAAACAGTTTATTACACACAGTTTATATTATATATAGTTGATTACACACAGTATATATTATAAATAGTTTATTACACACAGTATATATAATATATAGTTTATATTACACACAGTATACATTATATATAGTTTATTATACACAGTATATATTATATATAATTTATTACACAGTATATGTTATATATAGTTTATATTACACACAGTATATTATATATAGTTTATTACACACAGTTTGTTATATATAGTTTATATTACACACAGTATACATTATAGTTTATATTACACACAGTATATATAATATATAGTTTATTACACACATTTTATGTTATATATAGTTTATATTACACACAGTACACATTATATATAGCCGATTACACACAGTTTATTATATACAGTTGATTACACACAGTATACATTATATATAGTTTAGTTTATTACACACAGTATACATTATAGTTTATATTACACACAGTATACATTATATATAGTTTATATTACACACAGTTTATTATATAGAGTTGATTACACACAGTATACATTATACACAGTTTATATTACACACAGTTTATATTATATATAGTTTATATTGCACAGTTTATATTACACACAGTTTATTATATACAGTTGATTACACACAGTTTATATTATACACAGTTGATTACACACAGTTTATATTACACACAGTTTATTATACACAGTTGATTACACACAGTATATATCATATATAGTTTATATTACACACAGTATACATTATATATAGTTTATATTACACACAGTTTATTATATACAGTTGATTACACACCGTATACATTATATATAGTTTATATTACACAGTTTATTATATACAGTTGATTACACACAGTATACATTATACATCGTTTATATTACACACAGTTTATTATATACAGTTGATTACACACAGTTTACATTATATATAGTTTATATTACACCCAGTTTATATTATACACAGTTGATTACACACAGTATATATTATATATAGTTTATATTACACACAGTTTATTATACACAGTTGATTACACACAGTATACATTATATATAGTTTATATTACACACAGTTTATAATACACACAATTTATTATACACAGTTTATATTACACCCAGTTTATTACACACAGTTGATTACACACAGTATATATTATATATAGTTTATATTACACATAGTTTATTATACACAGTTGATTACACACAGTATATATTATATATAGTTTATATTACACACAGTATACATTATACATAGTTTATATTACACACAGTTTATTATACACAGTTGATTACACACAGTATACATTATACACAGTATACATTATATATAGTTTATATTACACACAGTTTATTACACACAGTTTATATTACACACAGTATACATTATATATAGTTTATATTACACACAGTTTATATTACACACAGTATACATTATATATAGTTTATATTACACACAGTTTATTACACACAGTTTATATTACACACAGTTTATATTATACACAGTTTATATTATACACAGTTTATTACACACAGTTGATTACACACAGTATACATTATATATAGTTTATATTACACCCAGTTTATTACACACAGTATACATTATATATAGTTTATATTACACCCAGTTTATATTACACACAGTTTATATTATATATAGTTGATTACACACAGTATATATTATAAATAGTTTATTACACACAGTATATATAATATATAGTTTATATTACACACAGTATACATTATATATAGTTTATTATACACAGTATATATTATATATAATTTATTACACAGTATATGTTATATATAGTTTATATTACACACAGTATATTATATATAGTTTATTACACACAGTTTGTTATATATAGTTTATATTACACACAGTATATATTATAGTTTATATTACACACAGTATATATAATATATAGTTTATTACACACATTTTATGTTATATATAGTTTATATTACACACAGTACACATTATATATAGCTGATTACACACAGTTTATTATATACAGTTGATTACACACAGTATACATTATATATAGTTTAGTTTATTACACACAGTATACATTATAGTTTATATTACACACAGTATACATTATATATAGTTTATATTACACACAGTTTATTATATAGAGTTGATTACACACAGTATACATTATACACAGTTTATATTACACACAGTTTATATTATATATAGTTTATATTGCACAGTTTATATTACACACAGTTTATTATATACAGTTGATTACACACAGTTTATATTATACACAGTTGATTACACACAGTTTATATTACACACAGTTTATTATACACAGTTGATTACACACAGTATATATCATATATAGTTTATATTACACACAGTATACATTATATATAGTTTATATTACACACAGTTTATTATATACAGTTGATTACACACCGTATACATTATATATAGTTTATATTACACAGTTTATTATATACAGTTGATTACACACAGTATACATTATACATCGTTTATATTACACACAGTTTATTATATACAGTTGATTACACACAGTTTACATTATATATAGTTTATATTACACACAGTTTATTATATAGAGTTGATTACACACAGTATACATTATACACAGTTTATATTACACACAGTTTATATTATATATAGTTTATATTGCACACAGTTTATATTACACACAGTTTATTATATACAGTTGATTACACACAGTTTATATTATACACAGTTGATTACACACAGTTTATATTACACACAGTTTATTATACACAGTTGATTACACACAGTATATATCATATATAGTTTATATTACACACAGTATACATTATATATAGTTTATATTACACACAGTTTATTATATACAGTTGATTACACACCGTATACATTATATATAGTTTATATTACACAGTTTATTATATACAGTTGATTACACACAGTATACATTATACATCGTTTATATTACACACAGTTTATTATATACAGTTGATTACACACAGTTTACATTATATATAGTTTATATTATACACAGTTGATTACACACAGTATATATTATATATAGTTTATATTACACACAGTTTATTATACACAGTTGATTACACACAGTATACATTATATATAGTTTATATTACACACAGTTTATAATACACACAGTTTATTATACACAGTTTATATTACACCCAGTTTATTACACACAGTTGATTACACACAGTATATATTATATATAGTTTATATTACACATAGTTTATTATACACAGTTGATTACACACAGTATACATTATATATAGTTTATATTACACCCAGTTTATATTACACACAGTTGATTACACACAGTGTACATTATATATAGTTTATATTACACATAGTTTATTATACACAGTTGATTACACACAGTATATATTATATATAGTTTATATTACACACAGTATACATTATACATAGTTTATATTACACACAGTATACATTATACACAGTATACATTATATATAGTTTATATTACACACAGTTTATATTACACACAGTATACATTATATATAGTTTATATTACACACAGTTTATATTACACACAGTATACATTATATATAGTTTATATTACACACAGTTTATTACACACAGTTTATATTACACACAGTTTATATTATACACAGTTTATTACACACAGTTGATTACACACAGTATACATTATATATAGTTTATATTACACCCAGTTTATATTACACCCAGTTTATTACACACAGTATACATTATATATAGTTTATATTACACATAGTTTATTACACCCAGTTTATATTACACATAGTTTATTACACCCAGTTTATATTACACACAGTTTATATTACACACAGTTTATATTACACCCAGTTGATTACACACAGTGCCAGGTTCTCCCAGACTCCCTATTGTTACTTTGTATCAATGTGTAAAGCATGGTGAAGCCACGCCCCCTGTGTTCCCTCTACCAAACTGCAGCGCTAAACTCCGCCTTTGATTGACAGCTCGCTCAGCCAATGCTGGTTGAGAAGATTCTTGTTTTCACCAATAGCCGCCGGCAGGGGGCGGTCCTCGGGTAGGTTGTGTTTTGTTGCTAGAGCGTCAGTAACGTTGTCAGTTATTCTCATTAATGGTGGAAAGAGCGGCTGGTGATCTGTGCGGACACTGAGAGCACCCCAATAAACTGGGCTCGGAGAGCACCCCAATAAACTGGACTGAGAGAGCACCCCACAACCTGGACTGAGAGAGCACCCCACAACCTGGACTGAGAGCACCCCAAAACCTGGACTGAGCGAGCACCCCAATAAACTGGGCTGAGAGAGCACCCCAAAACCTGGGCTGAGAGAGCACCCCAATAAACTGGGCTGAGAGAGCACCCCAAAACCTGGGCTGAGAGAGCACCCCAATAAACTGGGCTGAGAGAGCACCCCAATAAACTGGGCTGAGAGAGCACCCCAAAACCTGGGCTGGGAGCACCCCACAACCTGGACTGAGAGAGCACCCCACAACCTGGACTGAGAGAGCATCCCAATAAACTGGGCTGAGAGAGCACCCCACAACCTGGACTGAGAGAGCACCCCACAACCTGGACTGAGAGAGCACCCCAATAAACTGGGCTGAGAGAGCACCCCAAAACCTGGGCTGGGAGCACCCCACAACCTGGACTGAGAGAGCACCCCACAACCTGGACTGAGAGAGCACCCCACAACCTGGACTGAGAGAGCACCCCAAAACCTGGACTGAGAGCACCCCAAAACCTGGACTGAGCGAGCACCCCAATAAACTGGACTGAGAGAGCACCCCAAAACCTGGGCTGGGAGCACCCCACAACCTGGACTGAGAGAGCACCCCAAAACCTGGACTGAGAGCACCCCAAAACCTGGACTGAGAGAGCACCCCAATAAACTGGGCTGAGAGAGCACCCCAATAAACTGGGCTGAGAGAGCACCCCAATAAACTGGACTGAGAGAGCACCCCAAAACCTGGACTGAGAGAGCACCCCAATAAACTGGGCTGAGAGAGCACCCCAATAAACTGGACTGAGAGAGCACCCCAATAAACTGGACTGAGAGAGCACCCCGATAAACTGGACTGAGAGCACCCCGATAAACTGGACTGGGAGCACCCCAAAACCTGGACTGAGAGAGCACCCCAAAACCTGGACAGGGGCACCCCCATAACCTAGACTTGGTGTACCCCTTAACTTGCACTGAGGGAGCTGGGTGTACCCCATAACCTGCTTTGGGAGCACCCCATAAGCTGCAGTTGGTGTTCCCCAATATCCTGGATGCTGGGGACTTGCAGTTTATAGAGTTGTTGCTATGAGGAATTATTGGTCTGGGCAGGTTGTTGGACTCCTGTACTGATGAAGGGATGCTCTGTTTTCTATTGGTGTCTGTGATACCAAGACGCACTGCATGCTGGGATACTGGTACCAGGACGGTGAGCATCAGATGTGACCCAGTAACCGTCACATACTGAACGCAGAAGCTGGTACTTCACGCCGGCCTTGGAGGTGCTATATCCCACTGACAGAGCTGATATCAGGTGAGGTATGCGTGCTGACTGACCTGGGCTGTGCAGGGAGACCATGGGAGCGGTGTGTATGGCTGGATCCTGGTCTATCGGTCTGGGCACCGAGATGTATTATTTGAAATTTCTGTACTACACTAGGATACCTATAATTACCTTCGATCTGTTGGTGGACGCTCACTGCATCACTTTCCAATAATCTCCTCGTAATTCCACCCAGAATCCCACATCATGGTTATATCTTCTATATAATGTAATGGTAAGGCAGTGTAGATACTCAGAAGAACTATAGCAGACCGCATTTGTCTTGGCATCAATGTCCTGTGGAGTACATGCAGACTTCCTCGTCTGATTTGGAAAGGTTGGGAGTTGAGGTCAATATAATAAAATGTATAAAGTTGGAACGTTTGGGCTGATATCTCTCTAGTTCCACTAATGTCCGCGCATGCTCCTTTGGTTGTAGTTTGCCTTGTGACATGAGAGAAGGTAAGGATGTTCTTCAAAGGACAGATATTTGATCTATGCATTATGCTTGCCATCTTGCAAGATATGTGGGTCAAAGCATGGCTGAAAAATCTTGTTTTCTCGTTAAACCATGGCAGCATTGTATTCTAATAAGCCGATTCTGCCATGGATTAATCAGGAAAGGAATCATTATTTGATGCAGTTAATGTAGAGCTGGGATGATAAACATGCAGCTTTCCAGATGTTCTAGAACTTTAGGCAATCCATTCCAACATCTGGAGAGATACGTGTTGGCTATACGTGTCGCTGTAACATACCTGTTGCTGTATGTAATATACCTGTTGCAGGCCATGCTTTGCCACTCATCCAAATAACAGACAGTGCTGATAGCGTTCATGTTTCTTAATACCTAATCTGTGTGCATTGTGTAACCGTTTCACCTGTTCTTCTGCGCTGTTGTTGCCTAGGTTACCGATGCTGTAGTTACCTAGGGTGTGTATCATGTTCTCGATCGTTATATCTGTCGTTTTCAGCTATTTTCCAAGTGAAGATGCAAAGTAAAATATTCTCCTGTAATGTCTACATTTAATACAGCAAATATCCCTTATATCGGCAGATCCTGCCATTAATATCCCTTATATCGGCAGATCCTGCCATTAATATCCCTTATATCGGCAGATCCTGCCATTAATATCCCTTATATCGGCAGATCCTGCCATTAATATCCCTTATATCGGCAGGTCCTGCCATTAATATCCCTTATATCGGCAGGTCCTGCCATTAATATCCCTTATATCGGCAGGTCCTGCCATTAATATCCCTTATATCGGCAGGTCCTGCCATTAATATCCCTTATATCGGCAGATCCTGCCATTAATATCCCTTATATCGGCAGATCCTGCCATTAATATCCCTTATATCGGCAGGTCCTGCCATTAATATCCCTTATATCGGCAGGTCCTGCCATTAATATCCCTTATATCGGCAGGTCCTGCCATTAATATCCCTTATATCGGCAGGTCCTGCCATTAATATCCCTTATATCGGCAGGTCCTGCCATTAATATCCCTTATATCGGCAGGTCCTGCCATTAATATCCCTTATATCGGCAGATCCTGCCATTAATATCCCTTATATCGGCAGATCCTGCCATTAATATCCCTTATATCGGCAGATCCTGCCATTAATATCCCTTATATCGGCAGGTCCTGCCATTAATATCCCTTATATCGGCAGGTCCTGCCATTAATATCCCTTATATTGGCAGGTCCTGCCATTAGTATCCCTTATATAACTAAGCTATAAACTGTGAAGATTTAAAAATGTACCATAGCCATTACAGCCTATTGTATTATTACAGCTCAGTGTAGTGGTTATGGTGCTAAGTCAAGTCCAGTCTAGTTAACGCTTTGTCCCATAGTTAGCTTGTATTAGAATTTACAACTGTCCGCATGTAAATCTGATACAAAGCTGTACATCTGCCAGTTTAATGTAATTATCGCTGTATTTGAGCATTCGTGCCTGTTTCCATCTTTTTGGATTTCACCTGCTAGGTTGGGCTCCAGAAACCTGGTCTGTATTCTCTCTAAATCGGAGGCTGTTCTGCAAGTTCCAGACATGGATAAGTCTGGAGAACAGTGTCCGGATATTGTTGTCAGAATGCCCCCCAGTCGATGATCGTGGATTATTTATGCTAATTTAGTTTGGTTGAAATCATACCTTGGATAACACGGTGTGATGTACATTTTCTGGCGTATTTTGGAAAAGAAACGTTACCTTTTTCAATCCCGTTTTATAAATGAGGAGTCACTGATTGGCTCAGAGCTCTCAGCCATTTAACAGCGCCCCTGCCCAGCGGCACTCCGCGCTTCCTGGTACTGTGATTCTGAAGCCGGATGCCGCCTGGGGGCCCTGAGGATCGGCACTGGAGGCTCACTTCAGGGTTAAACCTTTTTAGAACAGTTTAACCCAAGCATGTCAAACTCAAAGTCTAGCATGGGCCACATAAACAAGGTTTAAGTTTATGTGGGCCGCAAAAAAAAACAAAAAAACCTTAAATTTTCATAGAAACTTAGGTTTATTTTGAAAATTACAGTAATTTGTCCTCCCCCTCTACTAAAGCCCAGCAGCCCCCCTCTAGCCAACAAGCAGACTCCATTCACATTGCCGATGCCAGTATGTGACTCCGGAGTCTGGCCTCTGGTATACCCCAAATGGCGCTGTCCGCACCCTGTGCCAAATCTGATCCTCCCGCTACTTCTTGAAACCCTGTGAAGGTGGAGCACGTTGATGTCACATCTGAATGTGACGTGGCGTTGCGTGCCTCCATGCACTCCACTGTCCAGTCGCAGCCAATGCAACACTGACAGACACACTCACTGACAGACACACACACACTCACTGACCTACACAGACACTTACACACATACTTTACATTATTGCTCCCTACCTTTTAGAGCCAATGTGGGGCATCTCCCTGGGTTCCTTCTATCTGCTTCTCACTGCTCCCTCGCGCCCAGCTTCACTACAGACGGCACGAGCGAGTGAGGAGCAGGAACACTGAGCTCCCTCGCTGGCCCTCCTCCCCGGCCGGGTAAGCAGAATAGGCACCTGCAATGTGGGGAAAGCAGGTGCCTACTCTGCTATAACACCAGCATGTACTCGCGGCTCGCTGGGCCGCAAAGATGGTTCTTGTGGGCCGCGAGTGTGACATGCTTAGTTTAACCCTTTAAGGCACAGGGGCCTCCTGGCATCATAACAAATTCATTTAGATGAAGCTAGATGCCTAAACTGTCCCCTTTTAAAATCTGAATTTCACTTTGCATTCTCAGTTTAGTAAATAACACTGTATGATTTACATTTTTTCTATGAACACTAACTCCCTCCTTGTTGTACCCCCAGGTGACAATGCAGAGTCCTGTTGGTACCCCAACCCATCAAGGTGGTGGAAATAATAGTGAACTTGCCCTGACGGGCTCCCAGGTTTCTGTAACAAGACGTCCGAGTAGTGCTGGCAGTGCCAAGCAATTCTCCCGTTCTGTGTCGGTGATCACAGAGAGTCAGAGCAAGGGAAACTCACCGGTAAGTGAACTCCTAATGACCTGCTACCTGTCCTGCTTTAAAGGGTCTCTTGTCTAAAAATATGGTTTATTCACTAAACGCTCAGTTACAGGGAAAGGAAAACAGAATTGAGACATAAATTAGCTGATCAACAAAAGTTCTGTATCTCTGCTGTAATCACAGCTCGGCTGCTTTAGTCTGGATTTTGTCATTTTGTTTTCCTGCGGTTCTATGTTTAGTGAATGAACCCGTCTCTGCTAACTGAAAGCTTTCGATCCCTTTGTCCCTTTTCTTAGGGCAATTCATCGAGAGCCATCAACAATCTCCGAAGATCCAACAGCACCACGCAAGTGACCCCAGGGAACAGTTCGTTATTCAGGTAATCCTGGTATAACCCGAGCTTAGTTCAGGTACTGGTGAAACGGGTTTGGAACAGAACTCTGCTGTCCATTAAAACAGAATAGAGAGTATTGACATAATTAGTGGCAGCTAATTTAGTGTCAGCCGTTAAATAAGATTTTACATTAATATTTTTATAGTGTATATTGTATATAAATCGTAAAAATAATAATAAAAACAGGAATCTGAAGGGTTACTCGTTAAATTGTGATGGATTGAAATCCAAATTGTAATATTCCTACAAAAACAACCAATCTGTGACTATAGCAGAATTGGTGAATTTTTCCAAATCCATTATTTTTATTTACTTTATTCATTTTGCAATTTGGTTTACAGTTTACTTTTTAGTGAATAAATCCCATTGTTAAACATGCGCAGGATCCACCTTGTGTAGAGGTCGGATATGTCATGGGGTGAACGAAAAAATGGTGAATATGAATTAAGAATTGTAACCATTGAAGATCTCGTAATGGCCACTCCTGCCTTACACCTTGCTGTTTGTACCCCTTCTGATGGAAGACTGTTTAATGCATCAACTACTCTTTTAAAGGAAGAATCCATGACATTCTCAATGGAATGTTTTATATAAAGATCTGGGAGAAACATTTACCAGAAGTATGCGTGAGAATTCCCAGTTGTCTATATTTTTTTTTACCACGCACATTCTGCCCTGGGGTAAATAAAAGAATGATAGAGTCTTTCAGTGTCTTCTGTTGTTTCTGTATCCAGCTGTTACTCCCTGGGGGCCCTGAGAGCAGAAAGAAGGGGGAAGGTAGGTAGGGGGTGATAGGTTCTGCTGTTGTGGAATGTAATAGATATAGGGCTAGAGGAGGGGGAGATACTCTCTTTCTGACCTTGCAGATTATTCACTTTTTTAATCCCTTAGATGCCTGGCCCTTGCTTTTGTTAAAGACATTTGGAGGGGGCGGAATATGGACCATAGCTCTTTGTCGCCCTTCCCCCAGATTCCCTGTCTGGTTAGATCCTCTCTGTGTGTGGACATTGGTGTTTCCAAAAATATTGAATGGAATGTTCTGGCCTTTCTGTCTGGTTTAATTCACGTGGGGCTTATTGACTAAACAACAAATTTTTGTGAATTTTAAATTATAATTTCAAAATGAAAAAAATAAAAATAGCAAGTTTGCAAATATTCTTCAAAAATACTATTTAGTCTGACGTTCACATTTCGGTTTACAATTGGCTACATTTACTGTTCAGTGAATAAAATGCTGGTCTTTGTAACGTATTCATAAATGGGTCCAACATTACAGCAGCTCATGTTCCTGAAAGCCTTGGGGGGACTT